AAACATGACAAAAAACCTCCCCAACAACAGTTGACTTAAGGACCTTAGGTCAAAACTCATGTCTACTTACTATTTCTTCATCGATATAAAGCACACACTTATCAGACTACTTTTTGTCATGTTTCAACATTCCACACCTAAGGTCCTTAAGTCAACTGTTGTAAATCATGTCTACTTACTATTTCTTCATCGATTTAAACCCTATAACAAATCTCCCTGCAACAAAAATGGGGAGGTTGACTTACTAATAGTTATGAATACCAAAAATAAAGACACTTTTTGAGTGATGCTAGGATATTTTATGGAAAATAAAACTATGTTGAAAATACATTTATTTTTGTAAAAAGATTAAAAAGCAGTTAATATATATCAGGGTATGACCTGAACCGACGGTTACTAATATTTATTTTTACTTCTCTGTGATTGACCTCATTTCAAGATACATTGCAATCTCTCCATCGTGAAGGCACCCAAATGTATTGTGTATTTTTATAGGTAAACAAACTGATCTTTCTTAAAACTCAGATAATAAAAAATTAAGTAATTCTTTAAATCAGATTCGTATTGGCAGCCAATACAGAGATTGGTAGCAGGCTTAAACAAAAGGAAAAAAATTTGATAGGAAATTAGAACTCAGTAATGAAAGAAAAACTTTCTAACTGAAACAAAAACTAAGCAATAAAGGATACAAACTTTTCTAGAAAAAAAACTAAAACAAGTAATGAGAAAAAACAAAAGAAGTAATGTTTCTAAAGGAAAGTAAAACATGTAACACTGAAAACAAATAGTTTCTAGAGAAAACTAGCTCTAAATATTGTGATGAAAAACTCAGTTTCAGTTTTCTTTGTGAACATTTAGTATTAAATACAATAAAAAGTAATGTATAATAAACTCAGTAGTTCTGATTATTGACCCAGAAACAGTATTTGTGTAATATGATGTTATTTGTAAACATTCTACACTTTACAAATTTTATGCACTAAAATTACTTTTGAAATATTAGATTTAAAAGATGTGTTCTTTCTAATACTTTCTACATACCTGATTTGGCACAACATGACAAAAATTTGAAATCTTTTCTTTCACTCCATCAGTAACAGGATGTTCACTTCTACATGCAATCTATATTTATATATTAAAAACCAAAATGACAAATACTAAAATTAAGTATAACAATTAGAAAGAGCTATATAATTTCTAATAAAACTTGCAAGATACACAAGTACATCATAAGAGGTTCTTTTAACAGGTAGATCACAGGAAGTTTGGTAACAAGATAACATAAGTTTGGTTAAAAAGTCAATCACACAAGTTTGGTTAACAAGTACATAATACGAGGTTCAGTAAGAAGAAGAGAACACAAAGTTGGTTAACAGGTAGATCACAGGACGTTTGTTACCAAGTAGATCACAGGAGGTTGGGTAACAAGTAAATCACAGGGAGTTTGTTACCAAGTAAATCACAGGAGGTTGGGTAACAAGTAGATCACAGGAGGTTGAATAACAAGTAGATAACAGCAGGTTGGGTAACAAGTAGATAACAGGAGGTTGGGTAACAAGTAGATAACAGCAGGTTGGGTAACAAGTAGATAACAGGAGGTTGGGTAACAAGCAGATAACACTAGATTGGTTAACAAGTAGATCACACTAGGTTGGTTAACAAGTAGATCACAGGAAGTTTGTTACCAAGTAAATCACACGAGGTTCTTTAAAAAGCAGATAACATGATGTTGGGTAACAAGTAGATCACAGGAGGTTGGGTAACAAGTAGATCACAGGAGGTTGGGTAACAAGTAGATCACAGGAGGTTGAATAACAAGTAGATAACAGCAGGTTGGGTAACAAGTAGATAACAGGAGGTTGGGTAACAAGTAGATAACAGCAGGTTGGGTAACAAATAGATAACAGGAGGTTGGGTAACAAGTAGATAACACTAGAGGTTCTTTAAAAAGCAGATAACATGATGTTGGGTAACAAGTAGATAACACTAGATTGGTTAACAAGTAGATCACACTAGGTTGGTTAACAAGTAGATCACAGGAAGTTTGTTACCAAGTAAATCACACGAGGTTCTTTAAAAAGCAGATAACATGATGTTGGGTAACAAGTAGATCACAGGAGGTTGGGTAACAAGTAGATCACAGGAGGTTGGGTAACAAGTAGATCACAGGAGGTTGAATAACAAGTAGATAACAGCAGGTTGGGTAACAAGTAGATAACAGGAGGTTGGGTAACAAGTAGATAACAGCAGGTTGGGTAACAAATAGATAACAGGAGGTTGGGTAACAAGTAGATAACACTAGATTGGTTAACAAGTAGATCACACTAGGTTGGTTAACAAGTAGATCACAGGATGTTTGTTACCAAGTAAATCACACGAGGTTCTTTAAAAAGCAGATAACATGATGTTGGGTAACAAGTAGATAACAGCAGGTTGGGTAACAAGTAGATAACAGCAGGTTGGGTAACAAGTAGATCACAGGAGGTTGGGTAACAAGTAGATCACAGGAGGTTGGGTAATAAGTAGATAACAGCAGGTTGGGTAACAAGTAGATCACAGGAGGTTGGGTAACAAGTAGATCACAGGAGGTTGGGTAACAAGTAGATCACAGGAGGTTGGGTAACAAGTAGATAACAGGAGGCTGGGTAACAAGTAGATCACAGGAGGTTGGGTAACAAGTAGATCACAGAAGGTTGGGTAACAAGTAGATCACACTAGGTTGGTTAACATGTAGATCACACTAGGTTGGTTAACAAGTAGATCTAACTAGGTTGGTTAACAAGTAGATCACACTAGGTTGGTTAACAAGTAGATCTAACCAGGTTGGTTAACAAGTAGATCACACTAGGTTGGTTAACAAGTAGATCACACTAGGTTAGTAGATCACAGGATGTTTGTTGACAAGTAGATCACACAAGGTTTGTTAACAAGTAGATAACACAAAGTTGGTTAACTCTTTCAGCTCGTACCCGATCCCTAGGACCAGCCTCGTAACTATGTTATGCTTGTTGTAGTTTTCACACTATAACTTTTAAATTCATAAGCGTATCTTCACAAAATTTTGCAGATTATCAGTAAACATTACATCATATACAAAATATCAGATTTTAAGATTTTTAAGTAATGTTTTCTCATGCCTTTTTTCTTTTCACATGTTAACTATCCAACATGCAAAGTAATGTTAATTTTAAAATGAAAAATACTTTTATGCAGCAGAAAATTTTCATATTTCACATGCAAGATTTTTATAGCATCCAGATAATCATCAAATGTTTCTTAAGAAAAAAGTTTATATTTTATCTGTTATTTTCACTAACAAATCTGTGTACGAGTTCGTTAGATTTACTGATCTCGTAACCACCATAAAAAATTAGGAAATAAATATAAGTTATGCTTTTTTCATTACAGAATGACTACAAATTATAACAAGAAAACACAAATGTTTAGTTTAAATAACTTAACTCTATTTCTATGGGTCAAAGGCCATGTCATTGTGTTTGAACTCACATTGAACATTTTATTGAATTACTATTTTATGACGGTATGCCAATAAGTTTAGTATTAAATTGTACATTATAATTCAAATTTTAATATGATCCATTAGTTCATTTCTTTATATTAAAACTAAATATTTAAAAAAATCCTAAGTACCAATTTTTGTGTCAATGGTATGTTGAATGCAGCATTAGTTCAAATTAGATGTTTGTACTGTCCAAATTCAAATTCTGTAGTTTTTTTATAAATTAGGAACTCAAATTACTGATATTGACAAGTTAGAATCTAAAATAAGAACCTCCTATCTCTTCTATGTGCTGAGATATCACTACATTTACTGGAACAAAATCAAAAGTGGCAAAATCAAGCTCTTTCCAATTTTTGAAAACACTTCCTCATGTACACCTACATCTGTCTACAACATGTGAATAACCAATCAAAAGCTCAGACTGTCCCCCTAATGGCTTTCTCTGCCATTTTGAAGTATTAGGCTTTCAATCTATTTCATTTGATACAAAATTTCAAGCTGGTATGGTAAGTCTTTAGTCAGCTTGAAATTTCATATTTCTTTAGACCCAAATACAGCTCAGTTACTATGCTTGATAAATTATAGTGGAATTCTGTGGTGTTGATATAGTATTTTATGCTTTTTGGTTATATCAAAATGTATGTATAAAACATAAAAAAAATATATTTTGTTTCACATCCTCCAGCAAATGAGTTCAAATTTCATAACTAGAAAAGATAATTATTTTCTATAATTATTTATTTACTGTTCTATGTTTTAAGAAAAATAACTAAAATTTTAAGAATTTATTTTAAATAGTAAAAATGTATATGCATACATAATGTATTAAAACTGAAATGTGATTGCATTTTACAAAATACTAGTCTACTAAAATACAGCCAAGACAGGTCACTTTGTAAAGGGTAGTTTTATATTCTATGATACAATGAGTGCACATGCACCACTTCATTGCAGCAGCTGCAATGTTAACCAGGCACGGCTGGAAGGTCAATATAATAAAAATAATAAATATATATCCTAATTTATACAAAAATATAGACTTTGTACTTGTACATCACAAACATCTAATTTGAACCAGTGCTGCATTCAACATACCACGTGACACAATAAAAAAAAAATCAATATTTAGGTGTGTTTCTAATATTTACTTTTAAATTAAAAATTAACTAAGGTATAATACTAAAATTTGAATTATAATCTACAATTATAGACATAAATTCTTAAAATAGTAGTTCAATAAAATTTTGAATACAAGTGAACAAACAAGAGGACATAGCCTTTGACCCGTGAAAATAAAGTTATCAAGTACATCACACGAAGTTATTTAACAAGTAGATAACATGAGGTTGGATAACAAGAAGAGAACACAAGGATGGGTAACAAGCAGATAATACAAAGTTGGTTAACAAGTAGATCACACGAGGTTGGTTAACAACTGTATAACACAAGGTTTGGTAACAAGTAGATCACACAAGGTTCATTAACAAGTAAATCATGATATTGGGTAACAAGTATATCACAGTAAGTTCATTAAAAAGCAGATAACATGATGTTGGGTAACAAGTAGATCACATGATGTTGGGTAACAAGTAGATCACAGAAAGTTCATTAAAAAGCAGATAACATGATGTTGGGTAACAAGTAGATCACATGATGTTAGGTAACAAGTAGATCACACGAGGTTCATTAAAAAGCACATAACATGATGTTGGGTAACAAGTAGATCACATGTTGTTAGGTAACAAGTAGATCACACAAGGTTCATTAAAAAGCACATAACATGATGTTGGGTAACAAGTAGATCACATGATGTTAGGTAACAAGTAGATCAAACGAGGTTCATTAAAAAGCAAATAACATGATGTTGGGTAACAAGTAGATCACACCAGCTTGGATAACAAGCAGATAATACAAAGTTGGTTATCAAGTAGATCACACGAGGTTGGTTAATAAGTGTATAACACAAGGTTTGGTAACAAGTAGATCACACAAGGTTGAGTAACAAGTAGATCACACGAGGTGCATTAACAAGTAGATTACATGATATTGGGTAACAAGAAGATCACATGATGTTAGGTAACAAGTAGATCACACAAGGTTCATTAAAAAGCAGATAACATGATGTTAAGTAACAAGTAGATCACACGAGGTTGGTTAACGTGTAGATTACACGAGGTTGGTTAACGTGTAGATCACATGAGGTTGGTTAACGTGTAGATCACACGAGGTTGGTTAACTTGTAGATCACACGAGGTTGGTTAACTTGTAGATCACACGAGGTTGGTTAACATGTAGATCACACGAGGTTGATTAACATGTAGATCACACGAGGTTGGTTAACATGTAGATTACACGAGGTTGGTTAACATGTAGATCACACGAGGTTGGTTAACATGTAGATCACACGAGGTTGGTTAACATGTAGATCACACGAGGTGCATTAACAAGCAGATAACATGAGGTTGGTTAACATGTAGATTACACGAGGTTGGTTAACATGTAGAATAACCAATCGAAAGCTCAGAATGTCACCATAGTGGCTTTCTCAGCCATTTTAGATATAAAGTCGTTGTTATATCTTTCTTTCGATACAAGATGGCATAGAGGTAATCACAAGTCTTTAGTCTGCTCAAAATTTCATATTTTTTTTGACCCAAATATAGCCTTGTTACTAAAATTGATAAATTACAATTGATTTCTATGGTATCGATATAGTAATTTAAGATTTTTTGGTTATTCAAATGTATATATAAATCCTTAAAAGAATTATTTCGTTTCACATCCTCTATGTGCAAAATTTGATAAGGTTTACCAACCCACAGCAAGCAGCAAATGAGTACAAAGGTCAAAACTAGAAGAGATACCTTGCTTCTTTATTTACTGTTCTATTTTTTAAGAAAAATAAGTTTAAGAAGATATTTATAAATAGTAATAATCTACATACATATATAATGTATAATAATTGAAATGTGACTGTATTTTACAAAATATTAATGTACTAAAACACAGCCAGACATGTCATTTTGTAGACTAAAGGTCAGTTTTATATTATTAAATACGGTAACATGTGTGCCGCATCATTGTAACTTCTGTATTGTTAGCCAGACATGGCTGAAAGGTGTATATAATAAAAATAATAAATGCATAATGTTATGAGATTTAAGCTATATAGTCTAAACATTTATGTTTCGTGTTATAATCTGTAGCCATTCTAGAACGAAAAAGACATAATTCATAGTTATTTCTTAATCTTTTATGGTCGTTATGTTAGTGAAAATAACAGATAAAATAGTTTTTTCTTCAAAAACAATTTGATAACTATCTGGACATTATAAGGATTTTGCACGTGAAATTTAAAAATCCGATGCATAAAAGTATTTTAATCTTAAAATAAAAATTACTTTGCATGTTGGATAGTCAACATGTGAAAAAAAAAAAGACATGAAAAAACATTACTTCAGAAAAAAAATCAAAACTAAATATCTTATTTTTCCAAAACTACATACTTATAGAACTTTTCATCTGAAATTTAAAAGGATTTCATCCACTAGTTTCATTTTTGTAAAGAACTTTCAAAGGGTTAAATTGACTACTAATTCTTGCAAAGTCAAGGGGCTAAGCCTCAATCCAGTAGTTCTCTGATTTAGTGTGATAAAACTTACCAAATCGGGGGATAGGCCTAAACCACGTAGTTCACGAACACTGGCTTGTGTTGGTTTTGTTTTATGCTCACCTGTTGCCTTTGGCTAGAGAATAATTGTAATCATCATTATCATAACCATAATATATGAATGAAAGATACTTCCAACAGTATGTACTAATGGCTAATTATGAATATACTATTCATAAAAATGGGTTATATAGTAGCAAAAATTAACTATTAAAAGCATTGTACAAAATTTATCAAAAAGAAAAAAGCATAATGATACATGAATTTTAATTCACAGATGCTCATACTGAAAGTCAGTTAATCAAGTGTAACTAACAACGAATTTGTGACAAAATGATGGAAAGTACAAATAATGACAGAAAGTCAGTTTTAACAGCTAACGATAGGAAAGTCAAATGCTAATAAATATATAACAAAACAGTTTTTAACAATAACACGACGATAAAGATACAATCATCACAAACCTGAGGAACGAGACTGACGTGTACACAACAAAAGTTCTCTCGTTTGACACGGAACTGAAACTGTCTAAAGGCTTCCACAAATGGCATTCCTTCAATATCCCCTATAGTACCTCCAAGCTTAAAAAGAAATGTTACAGTTCAAATGTAATAGAAAAGACATGACTAAATCTGAAACATTATGTAGATAAAAAATACATAATGCATTAGTAAGTTTAAAAAATTTAACTTGTTGATTCAGAACCTTAATCATTCACTACACAAATTTTGTAGTCAGACTGGACAAATAAGCAGTTCTCTAAAATACAATGATTTTTGTTTCACTACCTCACTTCTGCCACAAATAAGTTGACTACAACTACAAATACAGCTGCCATTCTTCAGATTCCTGAGGGACAAGGACTTCTTCCAACACTCCATATTCTACTATTGCTGCTGCTAGACATTACAACTAGGATTCAAATAAAGCTGGTATATTTCAGATAACTCAAGGAAGGGAACTTTTTCCAACACTCCATTACAATTCTGCTGACCCTCAGTGAATGTGCCTGAGGTAATGTCTAACAGCTGCTACAGGAATCAGAAGCTTAGCTGTAACCAAAAGAAGAGATAGCTGGAGCCTTGGAAATGCAAACCACGGAGAGAGAAAGGAAATATCTTATTTAAAATGAAGACAAATAAGCAGGAATCTATCAACTAAAACAACAGTTCTCAATCTGTAGCACTCCTCATATTGTTGGTTGAATAATTATTGAAAAGAAACTGCAGTACAATGTATTAATCTCACTGTGGCCCACAGAGATAAAAAAAACAAAGTATTATATACAGGACCAGAGAAATCAAGAGCAAAAATCACAAAAACTAGACCAGAATAACAGTGTTAGAGTATACCACAAAGGAGAAATAGCAATCTAATGGTAAAAACAAGGTTGCAGATTAGAACTTTAGAAGTATTCAACTATAGCAGATCAGGGCCAATAATGTTGCTGTAGGATAGCACAAAACTGATGAAAGCACAAGTATATTCAGAGAAGGAACAGTGATGTATAGAGCCCCAGCCCCTTACACTAAATCAGTAGAGAAAACATAACTAGCAAAAACAAGATCAAATAGAAGCCTCGCAAGATCAGCAAGAAATGATGTACAACTTTTGATGGCTCTAGGGACAACCCCAATACAAACATGGTAATCTCTGGAGGAAACATGAAAATTAGGATGGAACACCAAACATCCCTAGAGGGAGAAAAAATTTGAATTAATAGTAGGCAATGTCTAAATCTGGGCCTGAGTTGCAATCAAAGGCACATGAAATACAGTAAGAGAACATAAAGGTCCATGTTTTGTCCACATTCCATCCTAGAGAGAAACTGACTAGATATGTCAACATTTAAAACTTCTGTGTAAGAAAGAGCAGTACAATCACTTGAAGAAAGAAAAAAAAGAACATTGGTATCCACTTAATGCAGTCTGTAGAATACCTTTGTAATAACCACAAAGTGAGACAGCAAACAAAAGCACTAAAAATTGATACTGATAAAGCACAATAGAACAGTCCTAGTCCATCATGGCAAACAATGTTGAGAGGACAATGGAAGATAAAGTAGTATCCATATTTTAAGCTGCTCAAATCTCAGGTGCAGAAGGACTGGTCCACACACTGAAAAATAGTCTAGAACACATCACTAGCATAAACATCTGAAAACATCAATGATGGTCTGAGACCAGGAGCAACAAACAAATCTTCCACAAAAGGAAGCATAATAAAAGAAAATTAATGGTGGAATGGAAAGAGTTTTTAGGATCAGATTAATATCCCAATCCAGATGAACACAAGACTTCAAAGGGTGCTAGATCCAACATGTTTTGAAAACTGTACAAAAACATGTAGATTCTAAAATTAGGATCACAGAGAAATGTACAGAATGAAAGTTAGTACCTCTCCACACTCTAAAATAGTAAACAAGACATGTCTCTTCCTCAGCAAGAAAATCAGTCATTTGAAATGGAGGTGATAAGGAATGAACAGAACAAAATCAAAGCTGGAAATTTTTCTACTGAGCCTGATACACATCCCATGTGGAAAACTTACAAAAAGGAATAAGATGACTAGCCACTTAAATGACCAATTACGAAATACATGCTACAGACCACACAACAATCAATTGTAGAAAATCATATGCTATGGTTGAAAATGTTTTAGTGGGTGGAAAAAGATAGTTCCTTATCAAGAAGTCAAAAGTATGTAAAAAAAAATAGCAAAGAAGATAGAGGACCATTGTTAATCTGGAGTCTTTAATCTCATGAGAAACTTATCTGAGAAGACTTAGAGGAGGAAAAGCAAACAAATAAAGAAATAACCATTTCCAGAACTAATTATCCATCATTTTCACTAAAGCATCCAAAACATGTGTTATGACAGCGGAAGTCACGTGATGTCGCTCTTGCATGCGACCGAGTTTCTCAAATTATCAGGGAACTCCTCAAATTTTGTTGAAGCCTCTTTGTTAGTATATAAGCCTGGCGAGAAGAGCCAGAGGATGATAAATGAATGTATGATAAAATGAACAGTAGTCACAGTAAGTTTCGAGTAATTTACGATTCTGTTATAGGCTAGTGTGTGATTTGCACTCATAGAGAGCGAAGTTATCGAGATTGTTGTTAAGTTGTTAAGTTTAAAGTGACGAGAAACGTACTGACAGTTGGAATTACTGTGTACTAAAAGTTTCTATCAAGAAAGAATAAACTGGTTTAATCAAGAAAAAACTTGTATCGCTGAAGTTCCTTGGGAAAGAATTTCTACTGGAAATTAACAAACAAGCAGATATGCAACACATGGAACCAAAAGACATGACAAGCCCTCTGACTATTATCCATCTAAAAGATACCAAAATATCTGAATGAGAGAGAAAACAATGAGTGGATGCAACTCTGCCATGAAAACCTATGTTGAAGTTTTTAACTGGTCCTTTTGAGAATTTGAATACAACACTCCACTTAAATAAGGATAGAGCTGATGATAACTGAAATTTTCTTGTTCATATATTTAGGTGGGACATGCCCCAAACACAAACAACCAAATCTCATAACCACTGGTAGTAAAAGTGTAACAGAAAGCAATTACCTTGGTAGCAGAGGAAATCTATCCCTAAAAACTTACACAACCTGGTATAACACACAAGCCAAAGCCAGTCCATATAGATAATCACATAAAACAAAGATAACAAGGTGAAGAACTGAAATGAATGTGTGGGATAAGCCTCCCGAATAACAAAGCTGTTCATCACCAACTTGTCTGTAGAAATTAAGCACCTTCCACCATGATGCTGGATAGTTATAGTTAATGGTTCAGGTTGGAGAGATTGATCCAAAGTTCCCATCCACCATCTTCTTGAGGACCACAAAATCGCTGAAGCAATGCTGAGTCTGCCAATTCTAGTGCACTACATAACTGTGAGTAACACAAATTGACTAGGTATTGATTGAACCTGCCCGGGTCATGTAGAAATGAAAAAGCAAACAAGGCAGGGACTTAAAAGAGGGAACTGTCTATGCTAGTTGTAGACCATATTCTAGTACCAAAAAAGATCCAGGGAACTCAACAAGGAGAACTCTAACAAAAGCAGAGTAACTGCAAGTGATCTCTAAATCAAGGTTGAAAAGCCCCAGGGAAATCAACAAGGAGAACTATAGTGGAAGCAAAATAACTGAAAGTGATCTCCAAATCCAAACTGAAAAAAAACCTGAGAACTCAACAAGAAAAACCCTAATGGAAGCAGAGTAACTGGAGGTGATCTCCAAATCAAGGTTGAAACAACTCAAGAAACTCAACAAGGAGAATTCTAATGGAAGCAGAGTAAATGGAGATGATCTTCAAATCAAGATTGAAAGACCCAAGGAACTCAACAAGGAGAATTCTAATGGAAGCAGAGTAAATGGAGGTGGTCTCCAAATTAAGGTTGAAAGACCCAAGGAACTCAACAAGGAGAACTTTAATGGAAGCGGAATAAATTGAGGTGATCTCCAAATCAAGGTTAAAATTGAAAATACATTTTTTTTAAAGCTTTCAGTGCTGACTGAAGGACGTAAACTATATTAAAAGAAGATGATACACACCTTGAGATAAATGTTTTTTTAGTCTACCCAACATTTCGGCATTATAATATTTCTACATTGAAAATATATTTCTGATAGATTCTTACCCCTACTCACATAATAGCTTTTCTCATTCAGTGCTGCTCTCTACATGTGCACATTTTGTGCTTACCACTAGCCTTGACACTCCCACCTACCCCATATATTTAATGTGGTTGGTACAGTTGCATTGTAGCATGCAAATAAATATGCGACAACCCTTAACCAACAGGAGTGAGTGCGACACACCTTCCTGGTGAAGGTGGCTCCCTCTATACAGTAGAACCCAATCTACACTTCGAAATTAGGCTAAAAAGAAGCACCAGAAGTGGGGAGGAAGAGTGGGAAGTGTAAGAGAAGGTAAGTATCTATCAGAAATATAATTCCAGTGTAGGAAAATTATAACTTCTGATACAATACGTTCCCTCCTTTCAGATAATAACTAGAATCCTACAGTAAAGTGGTGGAGGTACTGGTGCAGAATTTAACTAAATGAGCACATTTTGGAAAGAGTCCAAAGAACACCCATCAGGTGTGACATCTCCATGGTAAGGGACTAACCCGTGAGACCAGTCCTAATTTATTCAATCCAGGATCAGAGGGATGGACAGCTATCCTGACACTGCTTTACCCATGATATTCAATGGGTATGGTACAGTCTGGGATGGACACAGTAATGATGCAATACACTGCAAGGAGAACCTACTAGTAGTCTTGCGGAACACTCCATCTCAACATTGGGTGTTATAGACTTGAAAGGTCATACAGTGCAGATTTGGTGGCTGATCCATCTCATTTCCAAAACCAGACTCCTGTGAACCAACCTCCACAAGATGGTAGGATGGAGGTTCCCTGATGAAAAGTATACCTGGACAAATACCACACACTGTGATCCGATATTAAGCATAGGGCCACTGTAAGGGAAGGTAAAAAATGAAAAGAAAACTTACTCACTCAAAGTTGAACCAATGTGTGTAGTATGACAATGG